GTTAATGGATTCGCAAGACCCCCGCGTATTCTGAATACCATCTCAATTGAAACATGTTCTTTTTTCATGGGATTCTGATACCGTATATTATATATTTACTATTCTTTCACTTCTGTCCCCAGCTTTTGTTATGTTTCCAATCTGGGTACCTGATGTGGAAGGAAAGAAGGAAGGAATGGAAGAGCAAGTGAGCGGTGCCTGTGAGACGGATTGCCTGGCGAATTGAAAGCAAACGGAGGAGATCTCTTCTATGGAGATGAATGACCTTGGATGCGTTCTCTTGTTGGTGTTCAACGATATCTACGCCGTTCCAGAGAGTGTGATCTATTCATCTCACATTCCTTCCGCTACATGCATAGACCATGCGTCTCCCAGCCGTCCCTCAACAACCAGCCACACCGATCGATCCCCTTCGAAAACAGACACCGAATATCACGAACCAACAGAATATGAATGACAGGCTCGCCCATCGTTTCTGTCTCGAGCTACCTAGGTACCCACCTAGTATATGCACTACACAAATTATTTCGGGCAGATTCTCGCGAACGTGCCTACACAGTTAATCGGCGTATTAGGTATGTAATTTAACTAACTACGACGACCCCTTGACTTTGTTCCTTTGCGAAGCGGTTGATAACATACTAACTTACCAGGTGATGAAATATTGTGGCCTTTCTGGAAAAAGAAAAAGAATGTGCCATTGATCCTTCTCACTCACACAACAATATCGATCAAAAACACCTCAACATATCCATAAATCACTCCTTACCGAACCCACAACGCGCGCGAAAAAAAAATATGTACAAAAAAATTCAAAAAATCATCAAAAGTGTAACACTTTCAAAGTAGCACAGAATGGGGCGAGCCGGGATCGAACCAGCGACCTTACGATTAACCTGTGAACCGAAGTTTTAACTTCAGTCGTACGCTCTCCCAACTGAGCTATCACCCCATTGAATAATGAAAAAACGGAAGTTTTTTGACTCGACTGCCAGCCTACCGCCCGATTTTGAATAATAAAAGCCAAAAAACCGTGGACCATGGTTTTTGTGTGACCCCTTGTTTTTCATGTATGTGCTAGCAATCAGCACACCGGTCCTTTCGATTGTTGGACTTTCCGGATAATATGCAAAAAAATATAAAACGAAAAGAGGAGGAGAAAAAATATTGAAAAAGAATAATGGGGCGAGCCGGGATCGAACCAGCGACCTTACGATTAAACTGTTGAACCGAAGTTGGAACTTCAGTCGTACGCTCTCCCAACTGAGCTATCACCCCACGTGATATGGATAAGGGGGCAGCTGGTGGGGTTGGAGAAGTAGTGCTGGCCTAGGCATGTTCGGGAGGTTGCTTGATGGGGTTTTTTTTGGGATGATTGTTCTACGTGGGCGGAAGCTGGTGGTTCTTGTTGAGTGGGGAGATGTAAAGGAAGTAGGAGGGGTGTTAGGGAGGGGGATGTCTGTTTGAGATATGAATCAAAAACGAGTTTGATTAGGTGGTGATGCTTTGCCTTGCCTTGCGCATCCAGTTTGATTGGGACCTTATTCTAAACCTTGGAAGCCAGACATCAGCAAACCTAGTAGTTATGCCTCGCGGGCTCCGTGCGGTTTCGGTATCTGCGCTATGATCACTGGGCCGCTTCTGAACCATAGTCATTGGGGATTATCCAGGGAGTTGGTATCACGTTTAAATTGACTAAATGGCCAAGCCTGCCGGTTCATATTATGGTTCCGTTTCTCGTCGTTAGAGCTAGAGAATCATGGGCATCTTGCCCTGGTTTCTGCGAGCTCGGAATGTATCTTCCTGCTTGAGCATCATTCTTCATGTCTATATGCACCAGCAATCACCCTGGGCTGTTTATGAGAGAAGGGGAGCAAAAGCAGCAGTTAGCCACGTTAGGTTCACTGGAGTATGTAGAGGAAACCAAACTACATGTGCACCATAATGCCTGCCCCGTCCACTTGCGCGTCTTCATGGATTCAACTCACTGAATCGGATATCAAGATCCTCATTACATGGTATGTTCTCGTTCCTACTTCCTGCGATGCAACAATAATGCCGCCATTTGCAGTCTTAGACCGGTATAAGTCTTCATAGCTACTTATCTTCACACCAAACATCCATCTCTGAGCAAATGAAAGGCGTCTGGCTATTTTCGTGCGGAGTCAGGGGGTTGGAGAGAATGAGCGTAATTCGTTAATTTCAGTCAAATATCTGCTTGGCATTCCAATCGAGTATCCAATGGGGTGATAGCTCAGTTGGGAGAGCGTACGACTGAAGTTAAACTTCGGTTAGATAATCGTAAGGTCGCTGGTTCGATCCCGGCTCGCCCCATATCTTCTTTTTTTGTCTTTTTTTTTTTTGGAGAAACTTGTATTTATTTATTTATTTGGAGGGGGGGTTGGTTTTCGATTTTTCTGGGAACTGAGAAGCCAGCGGGCTTCAAGTCAAGCCCCTTAGCCTAGCCGCTGATAAATGACTCCTGGTATCCAGGAAGTTATCATTCTGGTCAATCAAGATGATCTGCTATGCTATATAGTGCTATTAGGTCTTGCGAAGTCTGCATTTTTCCCTAGTGGGGTTAACAATTTAGGGGCTGGCCTACAGGAGTTCGTTCCCATGATATTGTTGATATCCATGAATGAAGCTAGTCTGCGGAAACATCAGGCAAGGGGTTAAACTGAATTTATATTTCATTCATATTTTAGATATCGGACGGCGGGTAACACTACATAAATACCTGGCTTGCCACTGTTTATCTACCCAAACATTAAGGACCGCTCAGAGAGTCGCTCCTCTCCACCATTTGAAACCAGAGAATTCTATATTTATAAAATGAGGAAAACTCTCTAAAGCACACTCCCAACACATCTACTTATATATAAACATCGTGACTCGCCATAAATGTCCACATATATCCGCTTCTTTCCATCCGATCTCTTCACCATTACACCCCTAACGATCACATCCCTGCTCTATCGACAAAATTCACAGGCGCAACAGGCGTCCCCGTCTCCAAGCACGCCTTGATATTTTCAAAACATTCCATCTCGGACAAATTGAATGCGCCATCCGTCAGGCCGCCTAGATGCGGCTGGATAATCACTTTGTCGCTGGTGGTGTAATAGGGGCTATAAAGTATTGATATCAAAATCAGATTAGCCCCTATTTCATTTGTCTCCCTCAACCACACAACCTTTTTTGGATAAGACATGAAAAACAAAAACCTCGGTGTAACTAACAAAACCCGACGGGACAAAAAAAGCCAGGATACAAAACTTACTTAATAACCGGCTCCTCAGGGAAAACATCCAACCCAGCCATCTTCACCTTCCCGCTCTCTAACGCTTCAATTAACGCTTCATCATCAACTATCAGGCCCCGTGCCGTATTCACAAAGTACACGCCATCTTGCATTTTCGCAAATTCCTTGCGTCCGATCAAACCTGTGGTCTCACTGTTCAGCGGGCAGTTTATGGAGATGATATCTGAGGTCGAGAGCAGCTCGTCGAGCGTGGCGCAGTAGGTGGCTTTGTATTCAGCTTCTGTCGAGGCTGGGAGACGGGTCCGGTTGTAGTATTGCACGCGCAGGTTGAAGGCGGCGGCTTTGCGGGCTAGGTGCTGTTTGGGGAGAAATTGAGGGGATGAAGTTAGTTTTTCGGGAGTAGTTCAAGTGGTGAGGTTTCTCAGTGATATTCAGGGGCAGTTTGATGTGGAAGTTTTCCACCCTGGCAAGCTCCCAATTCCCAAATGATCCAAATACCACCCTAGCCCCCCATACGTAGACATATACACGGGGAAAAGGGAGTGTAAAAAAATGTCAACATACCTTCCCAATCCCCCCCATCCCCACAATCCCCAACACCATCCCCCTCGGATCCCTCGTCGGCACCAACCCATCCTTCCACCTCCCCTCCCTAGCCTGCCTCTCCGCAACACTCATATTCTTCAACAGCGCCAGTATTAGCAGAATACTCATATCTGCCGTGGCCTCCGACACCGCATTGCGCGTATTGCAGAACCATATCTTGCTCCGCGTCATCCACTCCACGTCGAACTCATTGTAGCCCGCTGAGGCGGAGGCGATGATTTTGCAGTGCGGGGTTAGCGCGGAGAAGAGCTCTTCGTCAAAGGGTTCAAAGGCCAAGGTGCCCATGCGCACCAGCACGGCGGAGAACGGCCCCTGTTCGGCGGCTAGTTTGGCGATTTCGGGGATTGCCCCTGTGCGGGACGGGGAGGTTAGGGTCTGGGATTGTGTTAGCTTATATCGTAGGGTATGGGGGTTTGGTGTGAGATATTACATGGAGTTCATATTTCGATTTGAAGTCCTCGAGATAGGCTGGGTCGGTGAATGCGGGATAGGTGAGCGCGAGGACTTTGGGCTTCTTTGCGCCGGCTGCGGGGGTTGACATGATTGCGTTGGGAGATTGGCTATTCTTTTTTGTTTGTTGCACGCCTATTCGTTCGAGATTGGCTGCCTTGCGAAGCCAGAGATACCAATTTGCACAGAAAGGTGTATATCTTATGCTAATTGATTTGGAAGTCGAAAAATGGTGGGGGAGTCATAGAATAGTTAGCAAAACTCCGCGCACTGCATTTTATATTCGCGAAATACGACTTGACTAGTCCTGCAACTGTTAGTGGCCGATGAATTCCTGACTTACACAGCCCAACAAGCAGCTTTTGGAAACCCCCGAGCCAAAGGAAGACGAAGCCAGAGTCGAGGTATGGCGGGTGGAGACAGGCGTTGATAAGATATGCCCCGCCATTCGGGAATTTGCCGAATATGCCCCGATATGGTGGATATACAGTGCATCCTCTCCTACAGCTTCACCGAGTAATTCTATTGACATATAGAAAAGAAGCCTTGGATAATTGTGTAGTTATACCCCGCCGCTATCCCGGTTTCCGACTGTATGGATAAGTACCAAGGGTACCGGTAGAGTCTACCCCGCATGGGAGATAGCTGGCCGATTGCCCAGGTGTCATGAGAAGAGATGCGAACTTGATCTGAGTTAGTGGCTGAATATAACCTTGGACAAGGCTATTGTTGCACACATTTACGTTGTCCACCTAGGGCTCCATATGGTAAGTCATTGATTGATACTGCTCAACGATCAAGATTCACCGAATATAAAGTGAACATAAACTTCTATCATTCCTGTCATCCGCAATTTCAATCCTAAATATCAAATCCCGTACACTCTTATAATCAAAACAACTCACCTAACCCTCCGTCCATCAGATAGGTAGGCAAACAAACATGCCCGCAACTGAAGCCGTGGGCTCTATCCAAGCAACCCTCCCAAAAGCCGCCACAGCCCCCAACAACTAAGCAAGTATCATATCCATTAATCCACGCTTTTCTCCATAAATATTCCCATGCAAGTCACTTCGCCCTCAACACCGTAGCGGACCTCATCTTCGTGAATCATGAGGTCGGCCTCTCACACCAACCCAGCAAAAGGTCAACTCTGCAATATTCATTATCTATTCATCAGTCCACCCAGAACGGCCAGATCTTCATGTGATATGTCGCATGCATTCTCCTGACGGCAGAGCAGGGTCAACCTTCGGCAAGGGCATCGAGATGTTGAATTAGGGTGGGTCTGTCTGTCCGATGGTTCTTCCAGGTAACTATCAATTATTTCCCACTATAACAATGGGAAAGAAATTAATCTGTTGTCCATGGCAGTTTGAAACTGTGGCTTTCATGCGGACTAATGGGGCTCCAAACAAAACGATGATGTCAACATATTCATGGATGTTTTATGATTATCTCAGTGTGTGAGGGTTCGGCGGAGTTGACTTGGCTAAAGAAGAGGGTAGAAATATCGTCCGTGCTTTAGGGCCAACGAGAGGAAATTTCATCCTTCAAAATCATGGGTTAGTTTCCTATTCCCGCAATGCTTCTCAACAGCGTGCGATCCAGATTCATGACTTCCGGTCATCATTCTGGGCCAACATGACATTGGATATCCTGCCTAATAGTGTATGTCCTTGCAGATCTATCACAGCCAGTTCCCCTGTCGGAGAAGCAGTGGCATTTTTCATCGCCCTGCAACGGGAATGCCAGGCTCAACTGCTAGTCGAGCGTGCTAACACTCCTACACCCCGGGCCTTCGAAGGAAGCATGCTGGTGATCAAGAAGCCGAATACATCAGGAAGACATCAGGGTCTCCAGTAGCAATCAATGTACATGCAGTTCTTGCCCGAATATGAGCTGATCCTGGAAGAAACGGGAGGCGAGTTTAATGAGGGTTTGGTGAAGAACTAGCCTGGGCATAGTGGTTCAATGGCAACAAAATGAACCATATTGTGCTAGGTAAGGGGTGGAAATGTGCTATCCTATGCGTGATGTTAAGACATGGCTGTTTTCTCAGTTGTTGTTCAATGGAAATGTTGTTCTGGCTCCTTTTCCACTCATGGACTTTTCCTTTTCTGGCACCTGTGCGTTTCTGTAGTCCTTGCGCGAGATAATTAGCTTAGGAAGAGAACTCTATGAAGGGCTATGACACTCGGCCCGAAGGTTCAAGCTCATTTTATGAACTGTAGATAGATTCTCTTCGTTGTCTGATAAGAGGAGCATGATCAAAACGTTAGGCTGCTTAGTTCATAGGGGAAGTAGAAGTCTTGGGGATTTTCAAGATGGTTGTCGCGCTCAGACCCTAAACCTCAGATATGAAAGCCAACGGGATGGGTTCTGGCTTCATGTTTCAAATTGAGAATCGACAAAACGCCCCCAGGAGTTACTCTTAGCAGGTTCGGATTTAGTCGTGAATGGTCTTTGTTTCTCGTTGAACACGCAGTTGTTTTGACTTCGCACGATCTGATTGACGCCGTATCTGTCCTATGCGAAGGCCCATGCAAGCATTGGCTGTGCCGAGGTTCGCTTCAGAGTGCGCTGGGATGGTGTTCACCATCGTTACTCCTCATTTGTGTGATTTTACATATTCGAACTGCTGCCACGTGGAAGAAGCGGGTCCGATTTAGCAAAACTGTCCTGCTCACGATTTGCTTTTTTGCCTGAAACGTGAACTGCGTCTGATCCTTGTAGGCACGTTTTTTTCCCGCTTTTGGGCAGCCATGGTGCGTGAGCAACGAATGAACGACAGTGATATTTTTAGCGCATGAGCGGCGCCAAATCAATTGGTAGTCTGGGAAATTGAGAATTGCAGGTCGTCGGACATCATTTTAGATCTATTGACTGTGTTGCATGTCGGATTCTCTTGTTCGGGTTAATATGGCCAGATCTGGGAGCTTAATTAAACTCAAAGAAACAGTCACTCGAGCTTGGCGATCTCAATCTCTGAACCTCAGTGTTCTTCTTACTC